TAGGATCCATATCCCTCTAGTGCCTTCTGACAGTCCTATCTGCCACTCTCCCAGCCTCTTCCCACACCCCAGTCATGCAGCTCACATGGCTCAGGACTCTGGACAGAGCAAGAGAGAAACAGGCTTCTTTGGCAGAGTCCTGCCCTGCTGGGGAGGCCAAGTGCTCATTCACATGCTCTCACTTTCTCCCTCCGGAGAAATCACCAGATAAGATGATTTTCAGCACTGAGCTGTGTTGCCTTGGGGGACAGATGATGCAGGTGAAAAAGTCAGACTGTTCCTCTTACCCTCTTTGATGTGTCACAACAGATTTTTTCCATTTGCTGGAACTTCTCTGGAAACTGGGACTTCCACAAAGGCTCTTTCATTCGTGAGTGGTCACCTAAGACAGTGTTCTCCAGAGAGAGCCTCAGTCCTTCCTTATAATCATCATCCTACCCCCCCACCATATGCACAGCTGCCATTTTTTTCCCGTTTATGCGAAGTGTTGCAAAACAGCTTCAAGCTTCTTCCATCAATTTGCCTATCCAATACTTCCTAAAATTTACACTACAGAAACTGTGGCACTGTTACTGTTAGCAACTAATTGAAAAATTTTGAACACTGTGCAGAACAAACAAAATGTACTGCTGGTTCCCGTCTGCAGCCTGTGAGCACAGTCAGCCTTTAGCTGCGCAGCTTCTAGTGTAAGTGTGTTCATGTCCAACCACTGTCGATCTGCCCTCCCTCCTGGCTTCACCCCGTTCACACACAGCTTGTTTTCCCTGATTCCTCTCTTCTTCAAAGTCTCTATCTCACCATGTCACATAATTAAGGGGGTTCGAATTGTATTGAAGTCCTTTGACATTTGCATTTCTGTAGATTCCATTTCTCTCATTCTCCATATTCAACCCCCGCCCCATCCTGCAACATTCACTCAAATACCATCTCCTTTACAAAGACTTCGTTAACATCCCTTTTCCCTTCCCCTCCCATCCATCTGGATCTCACCGGACCCTGAATTCTGAGGGCTCTGTTTACCCTAGTGAGGTCACTTGGTACCCTGCCATGTAGGCACTTTTTCCTCTCTGTTGTGGGTTGAATGGCACCTCCCCCCAAAAGCTACGTTCACGTCCTACCCCCAGACCCCCAGACTTTATTTGGGTAAAGGGTCTTTGCCAATATAGCTAATTTTGGGACTTGGAGAGGAGATCTTCCTGGATTACCTGGGTGGATTCCTAAATCCAAATGACAAGTGTCCTTATAAAACATGTAAGAGAAGACAGAGACATAAAAGGTGAAGACAGAGGCAAAAATTGGAGTGATGTAGACACAAACCAGGGAATGCCCAGAGCCGCCCGGAGCTGCAGAGGAAGGAAGGGCTCTCTCCCAGAGCCTTCGGAAGTTGAGTGGCCCTGCCGACACCTTGCTTTTGCATTTCTGGCCTCCAGAACTGTGAGAATAAACTTGTTTTTTGGATGTACCAAGTTTGTGGTATTTTGTTACAACAGCTGCAAGAACCTACTCTCCTGATCCATATTGCCTGCTCTTGAGACAGAGGCAGTTAGGCTTAGCTTTCTGTGTAGGGTCTTTCCTCTACCTATAGAATAGGAACCGTGGCAGAGAACAGAATGCCAAGAACTGAGTGGGACTAGTCAGGTTTAGATTGGCCCCACTATCTGGCATTTTCTCCATAATGACGTGGACCCATGTGAAAATGGATGGGAAGCCCTCCCCCACTGGGTGTGTGTAGCTCTCCCGTTATAGGGGACCATTCCACATGGCGTGGGAATGTAGCCCAGCCCCCACTCGGAAAGGCCAGTGGGGAGTGAGGTCTGGCACACAGGAGCCAGGCCCACAGATCAACTTTCCCATGGGGAACCAGGCCTGCATTGTACCTGGGCTGCTATGAGGCTTGCTTTTGCTAAAAAAAGCAGCTCTCCCTTACCCTGAATTGAGACAGCAAATGTTTACTGCGTATCTTTAAAGTAACTTCCTAAAATCAATGCTAAACCTCTCAAGGACAAGTGTAACCAGTTCAACCACTTTTCCCTTTGCATTTGCAAATATCCTTCTTCTGTGATATAATTAGCAACATCTCTCCTTTGTTTTCTGTAAAAGGTAACCACCTAAAGTGAACCTGTGAATAGTAAATGAGGACCATCCTTGATGTAATGTGCCCAGAAAAAGCAATAAAAGCCTGTCAAGGCAAGGTTCAGGGCCCTCTCTCACTCAGAGAGTGGTCATGCGGTCCCTTTTCTCCACAGGACTTGTGCAGTCTGTGTGAATTTGTTTGTCACAACCACAACACACAGACCCCGTGGACCAGGGTCTGCATCACCCCATGGCTTCTGTTGCTCTTTTGTGACTTGCTTCTCCACTGCAGTGTCAGAATAAGGTCCCATCCCCATGGGTCCCTCTGAAAAGGGTGGTCATTATTCTGGAGTTAATCACTGGACAAGAGGCAAGTCCTAGATAAATAATAATTCAGAGTTTGGATTTTGATACAGTGGCCTTCTTTTAGTTTCCCAAAATTGCCATATCCTTTTCTTACTTTAGGACTTCCGTGTGCACTATTCCCTCTGGCCAGAACATTCTTCCCCTGGCTAACTCCTATCACGAGTCTCCATGTTAGACAGCAACCTTCTGTGGCTGTGCAGGCTAGGCCAGGACTTCTGCCAGGCTGCCCTGAGCCGTGCCCCTCCCCTCAGACGCACGTGTCACCCTGACGTCATGTTCAGTGTCCTGCCTCATTTCTGTCAGACCACAAGTTTTGTGGGATAGAACGTGCCCATCTGAGTCGCTCTGCTTGCCCTGAACAGAGAGTAGAGCACACGTGCCCCTTCCAAGCTTCAGGTGAGGGGAGTGGACCCAAGGGCACATTCTCTGCTCAGAGACTACTCTCCAGGGGTCCCCTTTCCCCTCCACAGCCTTCAGTTAAGTCTCACACTTTCAGAGGGCAAGCGTGGCTAGACCCCCAAGTGAGCAGTGCCCCCGATGCTTGCGACCATCCCTCAAGAGTGTCCCAGGGGAGTACCCCTGAAACCTATATAATGTTATTAACCAATGTCACTCCATTAAATTCAACTAAAAAGACTGGGTGAGCTTTCCTGCCCACCTTGCTTAAACTGTGGGTTCTGTTAGCTCCATTTTGCTGATGGAGTAAACTGATCATCAGAGAGGGGAAGGGGCTTTGTGCCTTCCTGTAAGAGGCAGGGCAGCTGCCTGAGATGGGTGCTGCAGGAGGTGGACATGGGGAGTTTATGACCTGGACCTGAACCTCAAGGAGCTAGGGTGGGGCGAGGGGTCGCAGGTGTGGCATGGTGAGACAGAATGAGAACTGCAGAAAAGCCCTGTGGGTGTTAGAGGCTGACATACTAGTCCAGAAGGGAAGGGAGAAATGTTGAGGCTTTCCTGGAAGGAGTAGATTTGACCCATGCCTGAAGGTTGGTTAAAGTCTCCCTGAGTACTGGAGACAACAATTTAGACAGAGGGACCTAGGATTGCCTTGCAGCCAGTAGGCCAGTGAAGGGACTAGGGGCAGAAAGGTTGTGAGAACGTGGAGCTGAGGCAGGAGGTAGAAGAGGAAACCTGAGACACTGCAGCCGTCTTCAGTCAGCATCCCGATTCCCACGTACCAGAGCTTCCCTTGACTGCATCTTTGCCTCATTTATAATCATTGTGGTTTCCTCCCCTGCAGTGGGCAATCAAGGAGGATTGTGGGAAATCGCATGTATTGAAGCTTAAGTTATAATCTTATAAAGCAGGGGTGTCAAACTCATTCTCACTGGGGGCCACGTCAGCCTTGTGGTTGCCTTCAAAGGGCCAAATGTAATTTCAAGTCCTTAATAATTAAGGAGTAGTTCTATTTATACAGTCCTAAAATTATTTTGGCCCCCAGTGAAAATGAGTTTGACACCCCTGTTATAAAGCCTGTAACTTCCATAGAAGGGAGCCATTCCCTGGCCAGAGATGGCCCACTCCCATGTCTTGGGAAGTGTACTTTCCTTAATAAATTTCCCACTTGCTTTGCTTAACATCTGTGTGGTCAGTCCAGTTTTTTGTTTGTGACTGCCAAGAGCCTGGACCCTGTCTCCATCGGCAGCAGAGGGAGGAGGTGCTGATCACAGAGGGGCAGGACATGCCAGGTCTGCTTGCACAGGTGGGGCCCTTTACCCTTCCCTCTGCAGTAGATCCAAGAGAAGAACTTGTGGGTGAGCTTGAGGGTGCAAGAAGGTGTCAGGAGTGCAACAGGAAGAGGAAAGTGGGTGCACAACTGAAAGAGGTGGCATAGTGGGGCCAACATGACAAGATGGGAGCCCAGGAAAAGCACATCTCAAGAGTTCCGAAGCTCACAGTGCCCTGGGTGGAGCAGTGTAGACTCCAATGTGTCAATATAAAGCTGTGGCCCTACCCAGCTGGCAGGACAAGGTCCTCCACCTTCTAGTGCCTGGAGGTAATAGATGCTCATTGGTTTATTCAGCAACGTTTAGTGATGATGATAATGATAATGATAATACTCTTTATTCTTCTGTGCCAGGCACTGTTCTAAGCACTTTTAAGTGTATTAAGTGTATTAGTAATATAATAACTCTATAAGGTAGACCCCAACTTCACAACTGAGGAAACAGCAGCAAACAGAAGTTGAGTAATAACTTGCCCAAGGCCACCCAACTGATAAGTGGCAGGTATGAACTGTGGGCCAGGCCTTATGAAACATGTTGGACGTGAAAATGAATAAGACCTGTGTATGCCCTCTAAGAACTCACTGAAAAACAAAGGAGCAATCTCAATACAGTTTTAGTATTAATAACACATTTTAGCTACCAGGAATTGTCTCCTTGTTTTGGTGGTGTACGTTTTTATAATCCCAGAGAACATTTTTAATTCTTCAGTGGGAATGGTCTTTAAACAAAATGACAGATGCAGATATTCACAGAAGTCAAACGCTTTAGAAAGATCAGGTAAGAAAAGGGGTAATAAGCATCTATGGGATTTGAGAGCTGGTTCTTTTTCTCCAGGGCACTTGCCAGAGTTGGGGCAGAGGCAGGTTCCAGACGCAGCGGTGCTGTCCACGGTCCTGAACTGCGATTGCCTGCTAGACCAGTCCCACCACCTGTGGTAAAGGGCTTGTTTTGTTTTGCTTTTAGTAAAATTTCCAAGCCCTCATGAACTGATACTTTTGTAAAGCACAATAAAAAAAATGGAGATGCTCATGTGCCTGGGTGTCACAGCCATGCTAAATTTGTGTGAAGTTCCTCAACACTAACAAAGTTTCTGTACTTAACTCATTGCAGACCTGTGACAAGTGCTCATGGAGAGCACTGGCCCGGAGACCACACTGTGAGTACCACCTCCCTATGGCAGTTAGTCAGTAGTCAGACCGCTCACAGAAGCCCCCTAAAGAGACATAAGTGGACAATCCTTATGCCCAGCAGTGACATGCATGTGAAAAGAGAGTGCACCAGTGACTTCACAACAAGATTTCAAGACCCAGAACCCAGATGTTGGGATGGGGATGTGGCTTCCCGAGTAGCACAAGTATTGTGTTGATGAAAGGACAATGTTTTTGTGACAGATGACAGGACTGGAACTATAAGAGCAGTGAGGCCACCATTCTGAGACTCATTCCACACTGGCTGCTGAGACCACTGAACAGGGTGCCATATGTGGGATTTAAATGAGACACTGGGGAGCTACACCTGCTTTTCCACTGCTGTGGTTCCCCCCAGATCTCAGACTCTGGCAGGCCTCCACTAAATGCTGTGCCCTTTCCAAGGGGTGCCCTGATCCCCAGTGTCTGGCACTTTTTCCATCTGCTTAATTCCTACTCATCCTTTCAAGGCTCAAGTACAGCAGCACTCTGTTAGGTGTTTCCTCCTCTGGGCTCCTTAGGGCTTTGTAAATCTCCCTACCACAATGTTAACCACATTGAATTGTAAGTGTTCATTCACAAACAAGTCCCTCAGGGGCTCATAGTTGGAAGAGAAAAAGACACAGGCTTCTGCCACATACTTATGTCTGTGCTCCCCAAAGCCTAGAAAAGAACTAGGAACACCATGAATAGGCAGTGAATGTTTGGTTAGAAAAAGAAAGAGAGAGAAAGGAAAGGGCAAAGAGTATGAAAGGGGGGGGGAGATAGGGAGGAAGGAGAAAGAGAATGTGGAAGAAGAAGAAGGGGGAAGGAAGGAAGGAAGGGGGAAGGAAGAAATCAAGGAAGAGGAAGGAAGGAAAGAAAGAAAGAAGAACAATGGTGAGTCACAATTACAGAAAAATCCAAAAATCTCCATATATATACCTGGTTTTTCTTGTGATGTCCCAACCTAATGCCAATAGGCACCATGAGCTCGGGAGGGAGGATGTATAATGAATAGAATGTTCTGCACATAAATCAGAGTTGCCACGTGTAATTCTTCTGCTTTGGTGTTAGGTGTGTAAAAACACCTTTGATTCCTTATGACCATCCCTACAAATTATTTTGTGTGAGAGCTCTTTCCTCTGTGCTCTGTCCCAGAACACTTAGGAATGGGGGGTGGTGCTGAATCCACGGAATCAAAAACAGTGTCCTGCTGGACCTGAAGCCAACCATTGGGCCTGCTTTACCACTCCTCTGGGCTCACATGGGCCCCTCTGACAGAATCCTTCCACTCCTGGTGAGTTTTCTCAGCGGTTCCGCCATATCCATCCATCCCTGGGGCTTTGAACCATCCACCCCACAGGGATGGATGGATATGGCGGAACCGCTGAGTGACTGTACCCTAATGGAAGGCTTGCTCCTCCCTCCTTCCTGCACTGTGAGGCTTCCCTTGGGTAGGGAAAACCAAGAAGAGTGGCTGAGCTGTGCAGTAGTCTCAAAGAGTTAGGAGCCTTTGATTTGAGGACTCAGAGGACTTCTAGGGGCAGTGTGGCCAAAAGCCATATACAAGCATACCTAAGTCTTAGCTCTGTTCCAGCCAAAATGCCCTTACACTTTCCCACAGTAAAGATTTGCAGTCTGCCCAGAGGTCTCCACCATCTTCCAAACATCTGTTCTAGAGGAGTAAAGAAATGTGCAGACTTCGCTGAGGCACCAGGACACCTCTCTGGGCTCAGCCACCTGCCTCAAGGGCAGACCCCCTCCACTCATGCCTGGGGTGGTAGATGAACCTAGACATGGGGTGCAGATTTCTCAGACCATCTTCTGTGAATAACTGCCCTTTCCATCAAGTTCCCTAACCTGTAACTTCTCCTGCCCTTAAGGGGAAACTTTCTCTTGTCTTTCATGCATGTGGGAGACCTCATTATTCAGGCTCAAAGATCACTCATTGACTGTGATTAGATACAACCCAAAGAAAAGGGAGGGGAGGGGACATAATGGGGAGACCAAGGTGGAGGGAAGAAAGAGGAAGAAGATGACAAATGCAAAGAGTGACAAGGATGTACTCTGTTTACTTCCCCTTTCTTCTCTTCCTTCCCCACTTTTTTCCTCACTTGCTCTCCCACACCACTCCCTCCAGCCTCTCCCTTTGTTTTAAAATGTAGATTTTATTATCATTTAAGTGTGGTGAGGCCAACAAATCAGGAGATAATTGCCATTGAACATAGTGTTTTATTTACAGTTCCCAACAGGAGCACTATGCCATGACATCCAAGGCCACATAGGGAAACACCAGGGTCAGTCAGGAGGCAGAGGGGGTAAGGGAAAAGCATGGGGGAAAAGACATTATTGTGTCTTTCATGGGAAGGAATAGGCAAGGCAAGGTATCAAGCTTAGGATTGGCTAGTATGAACAACTTCAGTGGGCTCTAGGGTGTAGATGCTGTTCCAAGTTGTCTGGTTGGGTCAGTAAATGGATTCTCTGTTCTGTTCCACTGGCCTATAGGTCTGTCTTTGTGCCAGTACCACACTGTTTTGATTACTGGGGCTTTGTAGTAAGTTTTGACATCAAGAAGTGTAAGGCCTCCAACATGTTCTTCAAAGATTATTTTGCCTATTTGGTGTCCTTTGAGGTTTCATATGAATTTTATTTTATTTTATTTACACTTATTTAATATATTCATCACAGGGGTTCAACCAGAGACTTGATTTAAAAAACATAAACAAAACAAATATGACACCACAACTGAAGATACAGAGTCATATAAAGAAATCAAGGTGAGGACAGACCATCTAAGGAAAAATAAGACAGCACAAGGAGAGGGGCTGGACAGCCTGGGTCCGGGTTCTCGGCTGGAGACCTGTTTCCCGTAGTTTCTTGCATGTATTTCTCAAAGGCGATGGGGTTTTCCCAGAGCTCGGCAGCATGTGCGCTCAAGGGGCAATCCACAGTGGGCTCTCCTGGCAAGCTCCGGATGGAGAGCAGGAGGGTCCTGACATCATACAGGGCGAACAACTGGTTCTGCAGGATGTCCGGGCGGATGTTATTCTGGGTGTCCATGTTGGGGCGGTAGCAGGACGTGAGGAATATCACTATTGGCACATTGTATGGGAAGCCACTGGGGAGCTCTAGGGTGAGCTTATACCTGAAAAGGTTGTTTGATTCAGGGAAGGCAGAAATTTCTTTGTTGCCAGAGATCACGAGTGCCATCAGCTCCTGCTGTAACATCTTGTCCATGGCTCTCCCACCCCTACCCTGGGGCAGCACCCCTGCTGGGCTTGGCTCCTTTACAAGCAGGGCGTCGCTAGCTGCGGCTGGGTTGCGGCTCTGGGAGGCCATCCGGGCAGCGCTGGCAGGGGCACAGGAACTCTAAGAATACCACTGTAATGCTTCAAATGAATTTTAAAATGGGTTTTCTGATTTGTGCAAAAAACACCTTTGGGATTTTGATAAGATTTGCACTTAACCTGTAGCTTGCTTTGTTGGGTGGTATCTATATCTTAACAATATTAAGTCTTCCAGCTATGAACATGGTATGTCTTTCTATTTATTTATGTTTTTTATAACTTCTCTCAAAAATTTTTGCCCCTGACCAGTGTGGCTCAGTGGGTTGGACATCATCTCACAAACCGAAAGGTCATTGGTTCCATTCCTGGTCAGGGCATATGCCTGGGTTGCCGAAATTTCTGCCTTCCCTGAACCACATGCCTGGGTTGTTTGGTCCCTGTTCGGGGCGCATATGAGAGGCAATCCAATAGATGTTTCTCTCTGGCATTGTTGTTTCTCTCTTTCTCCCTCCCTTCCCCTCCCTCTACAAATAAATAAATAAAATATTTAAAAGTTTTTGGAAAAATTCTAGTTATTATAAAAAAAGAATAATTTTGTACACATTGAAATTTCAACTAAACTACAAAACAATGAGCATTCAGAATCACCTGAAACCTAGCTGAATGGAAGTCCTAAAACTAGGGATTTAAAGAAGCCCCATAGGGACTGGTGGGAGGGGCAGGCACAAAACAGGCTGGTCCCACACTCACTTGTAGTAGTTAAAAGTCAGGAGGGATATCTCAGCTGCAAAGGCTCCTCCTGTGGAGCAAGGGGTCCCAGCTCCACACCCAGCTGCAGACCCTGCAGACCAGGGTTCCAGTACTAGGAACAGAAGTCCCAATAACTTCTGGCTGTAAGAACCTGTGGGGATTGCAGCTGAGTGAGATGGAGGGCTCTGTACTCCCAGGCATTCCTCTCAAAGGGCCTGAGCATGGATTTACTCTGACTCACTCCTTCTGAGCTCTAGCACTGGGAAAGCAGCTTGAAAGGCACCAGGGACATACTGGAAGGAACTGAATTTTCTGTCTTTAGGGCAAGAGCTGTGTGGTGGGGGCAGCTTTCTGCCAGATGAAAGTGCTGGCAGAGGCCATTATTTCTTTTCTGACCCACCTCCAGTGAAGCCAGCAGGTGGACACTGTATTAATCTGGCTATTACTATTTGCCTACCCTGGTGATTCCCTGAGACCTTGCTCCATCTAACCTGCAAGCCCACCCCAACTGTTTCCAGTGGCTTTTCCATATGAATGGCTTGTCTTATCTCATGCTTCAGGCTTTCCTAAGATCTCTCAAACAAGCAGCGACTGGCTTTGGTGTGCCCCATACCTCTCACTGAGAGGTTCCAGGCTCACCACTAGCAGCAGCTGGCCTTGGTTCACAGCTTGGCATCTCCTGGACACCTCCAAGTCCAGCATATGTGGCATCCATCTGCAGATCACTTTGTAACTAATGTCAGGTGGCCCTGGGGAGAACACAGTCCTGTTCTGTGGGGTTGGTCCTTGCACAGTTGATCCTCCACAGTGGCTG